AGGGGCCATCAGGCTCTTCAAGGCCAACTCCTTGACTACTTCCTGGGTCGCACAGGGCCTGTGGCTGCAGGTGCTCCTGACCTGCTTTCTGCCCCAGTGCAGTGTCCTGTTTGTCATGTGCTCTGGGATTTACGTGTGTGGGCTGCTAACATGCCTTCAGTGGTCGTGCGGCTCAACCGGTCAGGGTAGTGAGCAAGGCCCCGATCAGCCAGGAAGCATCAAGATGTGGAGCCTGGTCAGGACCCTCCATCGGCTTTGCCGACCGGACTGGCGACGGACGACGGCGGGGACACCCGCACCATGGAAGAGATCGATGAGGACTTGCGTCGACAATCTCCACAACCTTGGCTTGCCCCACGAGGAACGATGGGGATGGCCTGGATACTACCTGGACGACCTCTTCACGATCCCGATTGGACCGCGGTTTACGCCACTCCCAGCACTGGCGGCACCAGCGCAGAACGAAGGCGCACCAAATGTGGAGGCGGCCGCAGGATCGGGGACCGGCAGCGCGGCGGACTCCAGCCATGGGCTGGACCCAGCGCGCAGGACGACGTCGAGATCCAGGACGCCTCCTCGTGGACCCTATGGCCCTCCACCCCAGTCGGAGCACCCGGCAGGCGCAGAAGAGACAGCATGGACATACCCAGGTGCCCTGAACAGGAGGCAGATCCCTTCGATGACATCCACTCGGAGACTCGGAGGAACTGGAAAGAGCGGCTCTGGAAGCGGAGGAGGCTGAACGCCTGCTGGGTTTTGACGGGCCGTACGTGGACAGGGCCTCGACGGAACCGCCTATGGCTGGCGCAGCCCGCACACTTCATCAGGAGGCTGAAGAGTCGGAGCACGATTGCGAAGCGGCTGACCCCGTGGTGGACCCGAACAGGAGGGATGCAGTGGAGCCAGGACCGGTCGCGGCTGAGATGGCAGCCGAAGAGGGCTCGGAGACCTCCTCGCCTTTGTCTCCCTCCAGTGACTTCGGCTTTGGCCCAGCTACCAAGGACTAGGTGTGCAAGGGAGGGGCGGCGAAGTTTGAAAAAGAGACCGCGCGACCCACGAGTCCCTGGACTTTTCTTCTACATGCACGGTGTTGCGAACCTCCTTGCATGCCAGGTCCGGACCATGAGCCCCCTGCAGAACCCGGCGGGCGGCACTCTCAGCTACCTGCATGGCCTCTTTCAGCTTTGTGTGTACCTTGTGCGGAATGCCCGAGTGATGTTGTGCCAGCTTATCTACTACCTCGGATCGGGCCCTGCCAGGTCACCATGGAACCACAAGCCAAGACAGGCATCGTCTTCAAGCAGCTCGGGTCCCAAGTCCCGGGGTCATGGTAGCTTCAGCTTTGGCAAGCTGCTCATCTTTGCGGCAGTTTTGCACTTGAACCTCTTTCGACTCGCCAGTGCTACCATGACAGACGTGAGGGTTGGCGTCTCGCATCACCGAGAGGCGCCTGAAGCTCCGAAAAGGGCAACCGAACATGCCAATCAGGCCGCGAAGCTGGTTGGTGATAGCCGTTATACCAGCAGGCCCCCACGGATTATCCCTGGAGGTTTTTCGAGGAAAAGAGCCTGGCAGAGAGCAGTCAGGCGGGCTTTGAGCAGAGCAGATGGACTTACTTGGTACAGAGGCAAGCACGTGCACCTTCGGGATCTTCAGCCAGGTGACTTTGGGAGCCAGGCTGGCCCGCGTTCGCAGGCACCGCCGTCCAGAGCCCAAGGCCTGGGGAGCAGGCCGGGCAGACGCCTCAGGGTCGTTTGCTGGAATTGCGGCGGTTTGGGTTCGGGAACATATCAAGAGATCTTGCTTTGGCTAAAGGACGAGGCTCAACAAGGGCGACAGGTGGACTTGATGTGTATTCCTGAGACGTCGTGGCGTGAGGAAATGGAGTTCACGACCCGTGCGCTGGATGGGTCAGGTCCTCAATACCATGCTATCCACACGGGCAACAAAGAGAAGGCAGGGCTGCTTTGCCTTATCAGGCAAGGGCTGGTGGCTCCTGATCGTCTACGTTTTACCGTCCTCCAGCATGGCCGTCTCCTTCATGTCAGGCTCTTGTTTGAGGTGCCGTTAGATGTTCTATGTGTGTACCAGATAGCATGGAACATGGGGAAGCAGAGTCTTGAGGCCTCGAAAAGAGCTGAGCAACTGGTGCAGCAACGAGCCAAAGTATGGGAGCAGATCTCTCAGTGGGTTCATCAGATACCACTGCGAAATGGCCTAATGCTGTTGGGTGACTTCAATACCCCGGCAAGAAGCGAAATACCTTGGGTTGGCCCAGGCCTTATGCGAGCTGCTGATCCTCCTCAGCAAGACAGGGACGCCTTCCAGGCAATCTTGAAACAAGCCGATGGCAGGATCCTCAACTCTTGGTCCCAGTCGGGTTGTCCGGCGAGAACCTTTTTGCCGCCAACGGCTGGACCGCGTACCCTAGGTACTCAGATCGACTTCATCATTGTCCGAGCTGAACTGTGTGATCCCCAGGCCAGGCTAGCTCGGGCCTTTGATGCGCCTTTTGTGCCTGGCTGCCGCCACAGACCGGTGACAGCCACGGTGCCGATGCCGAAGCTCCCCAAGCACGGCCCTCACAGGATAGCACGGACAGTGCCATCCCGGGCACAGAAGCTCATGGCCGATGATCAGGTGTGTAGCCGAATGCGGCAGCATGTCACTGGCTTGGAGCAGCTACCGAATGATCCGATGCCTGATCTTGACAGAGAGCTTATGCAAGGCTGGAGCCACGTCACCCAGCAACATCGCTCTGCTGGGAAAGCCGAAAACCTCAGACTACATGACGAAGGTGACCTTGCTACATCTCAGCTTGTCAGGCGAATGTGGCTTCTCCGTGCCAATTCCCGGGCAGGGCCAGCATGGTCAACTCTCGAGGCACTCCGGCCACTCTGGCAGAAGTCTGGATTGGTTGGCGCCAAATGTCCCGGCTCCAGGCAGCTCAAAGGGAACTTCGCAAACGAGGCCGGCAAGTCAAGATTCAGAAGATAGC